TTAGCCAATATTTTGACATAAAACAAATTTTCATGTATGATATGAATGCATAAAGAGACCTAAGGTCAATCTAGATAAAAAAGCCTTAGATGTTCAATTCACAAAGAGTTTTACAACAATAACCTACCTCTTACGTATTGAAGAAATATTTGCTTGAATAAGCTCCCCCTAAGACAGTACTCATAAGGGTCCAAAGTTCAAGAGCTAAAGCCCAAAAGAAATGCAGATAAAGTCCAAAATCAAAACAACGAGGAACCTAAAAAATGACGTAAATGCCCTAAAATGAGTAGGATTGCACTAATATATGCCAGCTCTTACATCAAATAGGATGAGACGCCTTGGGAGGCGAAGAGGATTACACAATTTTTTTTGGTTTATTATCACATTCTTAGATATATTTATGATTTATTGCAGTGTGTATCTATTTTTTAAAGTTGATGCAGTTTTCTTCGATAATGAACATTAGTTTTTTGTATGGTTTTATCTATTAACTATGAATTAGAATATTATCGTTTCATTTCGACTATTTTCTATAGAATTTTTTTTAACCTTTTACACGTTGACCCCCTAAATGAAAATTCAGGGATCCGCCACTCACTATTGTACAGTGCACTTGTTTTTTTAAATATTTTTTATAAATAAATCCTGGCCAAAATTGGGCTAAAAAAATCCTGGGTTTACAGTGCTTGGAATAACCAGAAGCTACATTGAATTTGTAAACCCAAAGGGGAAAATGTCTAACAAATCTTGGACTTTATTCGATTAATTTAAGGGGGGAAAAACCAGTAGACAACACCAAAGATTTCAACCATTCAATAACTTGTTCTCATCCAAGAATGTATGCGTTGGCACCTCAAAATTGAATAACTTGAATGGTGCTAGGCCGATGGAAAACCGATCATGGGGGAGATGAGAAAAAAGAACGGCGGCCAGAAGTGAGAGGAAGAGGGTAAGAAGGGAAGGCCTAAAGTTGAAGATTGGTATTTTAAAGTTCTATTTTTCAAAAGAAAATAATTAAATCACATCTGGCCAAAAGAACACACGTTAGTTTGGCAATTCATGTGGTCAGTTCAAACTTTTGACCTAGTGTGTGCAAATAGTGCAGGCCACAAGGGTAGTAATCAACTTAGATGAGTATTATCTCATTTGACCACTCTCACTAACCACAAATTCCAGAGGAACTACTTAGGAGGGAAAAACAATATGATGTGTGATGAGGATTGGCTGTTTGATGCTCTATTACAAAAGGTGACCAAATGAAATGTAAGCTCAGGGCCGGAAACACTGTTTATGGCACTTTGGAGGTCAGCGTCTTGAGGGGATGGATCTGCATTTCTCAAGAATCTGCGCACAGATTGAAAAGGAAGAAGAATAAACATGTCAGCTACTCGGGAAATCTTGGAGGGCTGTGGAAAAACCATAAAAGAAGAGGCAACCTTAGACACTTTCTATGTAGCATATATGATTTGGCCACAAAGCATGCCAAATCATGGATCATGTATGAACCAAGATGCTTGCAAACTCAAACTTGACTGTACTTGATCAAGTATTACGAAGTTCAAGTTTGGTCTGAGTAAAACAAGATACAAAGCTCACTAGCATTCATCCAATGTAACCACAAGCTAATACTAAGAAATGAAGCACACAATTTTTTATGAATCGAGCATATACCAAAACACAAAAATGGATTCTTCTCTAATTGCCTGCAAGCTTGGTAAAAGAGACCTAGGAGAGGATTGCCAAACAATAGCTCTTCGACTAACTGCACTGGAAGAGCATAATGCTTTACCAGGCAGAAGCTACTTTTCTTACTTCATATAGAAGGTATAATGCCTTGCTGCCACAAATGCAATGGTTTTTCTTCAAAAAAGAGAAGAAAAAAAATGAAGGTAAAAAGAGAGAGACAAAATAGCTATAAAGGATTCAAATAGGATAACATGTAGAGAAGATGATATGCATCTTTGACTATGTAGTCATAGAATTTTTACATTTAAAGTTCTCAAGGTAATCAAACTGAAGAAAATAAAACACTGACAAGGTTTATTTCAGAACAGATTTGTCCAGTAAGCATGCATCTCATTAAGGCTTCCAAGTCATCATTCTCTTCAAGTGCTAGAATCTTGAACAAAACTTCTACTGAACTCACTGGAAATTGATCATGCATCGTTGTTGCAAGCTGATTGAAAACAATATAAGTATGACTCTCCGGTCATTAACATCAAGGAAAAGGAAAAAAAATAAAATATTCAGCAATGCAGATTACCACTTTTAAGTCTATGAGCTACACAATGAGCATCACAAAAGAGAGAACCAGAAAAGGAAAAAGGAAATTGTCTATATTCCTTGGACAAAAGTAACCAAGTCTACCAGTTGGTCTATGTTTAAAAGCTCAGGAGATGCAACTTATCTCTTCTGCAGCTCATTCAAAACTCTTATATTACCAGCAGTCACTGCCTTAGACTGAAGAACTAAGTACATAAAACTTCCTTGACTCCTTGGAACAATCATCACACATCATCATTGCAAGCTGATCAAATAAAAATGATCAGTCACTAACTTTATGATCATCGTGGTTTAAACATTTCTAAATTCCACTACATGTAAAATATTCATAAACAACTATAGGTGTCAACCTTGAATTTGGGATTTTTGTTAAGAGATATGAGGACAGCTGACAAAGGAAAAGTAACGAGAACAGCAGAGAAGACATCTGTACTTGGGAACCTATTTTATTATAAATTGTTTTAACAACAAACAAGATACAGTTTATACTCTCTTCAACTTTTCATCAACCATTCATGATTCAATCATATTTAATAAAAACCTCCAAACATTCAAAACACACAAAGACTATTTCTAAATACAACTGAAATAGCCATCACAAAATTTTTTCCACCTCCTCTTCCTAGAAATTGCCATGAGATAATATCAAAGAATTCAACACATCTAATGGACTCTTATAAACGTTTTTATAAAAAAAAAAGTTTACAAATTTAAAGAACAGATGTTCTCCAATCTTTTAGGAACATAGCCCCCTTAGATATTTAAAAGCTTGAAATTTAAAATCAAAGTTACTCCAACATCGCTTCTTGATCTTCATCTGTCTTGGCCTACAACAACAAACAGAGGTATTTTTGCACCTTTCAAATAAGGAGTACAAGAAGGGACATTGACTTAATTATTAAGACACAAAGTGAACTAAAAGAAGCAGAGAGATAGCGCATAAACCAAAACCACCAAATTCAGCTATTAGTACCTAACAAATTCATTTGCGCAAGTTAATCACCATAAAAACTTATTTTTCCCACATCTTCTATCAAAACAGACACATGATATGGCTCTGTGATGACATTTCAAAATTGAAGTAACCAATATCTGAACCCAACATAAATAGCCACTACCTTACCAGAAAATTAGAAGGAAGAAAACGACATCAAGGGACCCTACAAATGTTTGCTAGATACCTAATTCAAGAATAAAAACCCATTGGTTAGGCAGCCAACAAACAAAACTACTTCTTTGTTGAACATAATGAAACAAGGCTGCTTGTGATGAGAAATATGCAAATCTCACCAATCCTAGCAGGAGGAGGAGTATGGAGCAAAAGAAAAATCAGTGTGGATGTAGACATTGCATAATGATAGAGGAAATAGTCACATTTGGTTGAGTCATTCTCTCTTTTGTTAATTTTACTAAGCAAATAAAAAGTGGCAAAAAAGAAAGACATCACAAGGGTTCAAAAAAGGACATTTGAATATAAAATATATATATATATATATACACACACACACATATATACACATGTACGTATATATATGCATGTGCGTATGTACAAACAAATCACCTTTACCACAGAAGGAAAACAAAAAACAAAAGTGAGATATTTCCATTGATCTTAAAAATATGCAATGAATGCTATTAATATCCACACTAACTTTTACATATATAAGGGCTTATTGGGAAGCATTTGAATTTGGTTTCAGACCTATCGTTTCTTTAGAAACACAAACATTGGAACGGAATGCTCACTGCTATTCCATTACTTTAACGGAACAAACAGAAAGATAAAACTTAGTCTATTCCATTCTTATTGCACGAAACAGTACTTTGACACTGAAACCTATTGCTCGAAACAGTTCTTTGACACTGAAATTAGAACTCAAACAAGCACAAAAGCAGTCACTAGCAAAGAACATAAATAGGACACAAGCAAACGTTCATAAAGCCAACAGCCACTCATTCCATCACAAAAGCAAACAAATTCACTAAACACAAAGAGCCATTTGAGAGTACGAGTAAATACAAACAGATTGCTGAGAGAGTACCTTCTGGAAGCCAACCATAACTGCGGCGAGTGATGGAGAGCATCGAAGTCATCAAAGCCGATGCTGTTGCTGTGTGGTAGGGCAGCATTGACTCCACACAGAAGCTCAATTCAACGGGAGACCTTCAACAAACACAAAAAAATTCCAAATTTTTTACAATCAAAGTCTTACAATGTAATTTGAATGGAAAATTTGGCAACCGTGTAACTTGAACATTCTGTTTGGTTGCAAAGAAAATGAGGGAAAATTAAGGGGCATGTATATATACACACATATACATATATATGTATACGTACCTAAGCGCAGGAGAAGAGGAAGGTCGCTTGCCTGCCATACGAAACGGGGAGCGAGCGGCTTTGGCTTCGGAGGCGAGCCGCGCAGCCGAGCCGCAGCTGCGGGAGGCGCAGGAGCGGAAAATGGATCTTGCGGCTGCTGAGGTGGCCATTCTTACAGGGTTTAAGTTTTTGACAGGAAATAGCTTTTGGCTTTAGGGTTTTGGAGGAAAAGCAAAAAAAAAAAAAAAAAAAA